TAGGTTCTACTACTGATTTATTAGGTCCCTACCCTCGGTCTAAAAACGGGAACCGTTACCTTTTAGTCGTCACAGATTAAAAAAAATTGAAGGAATCAGTGCAGCCAAACAAATTATTATTAAGAGATCACAAAACAACAACAATATTTTGCTTAAGACCGAACTTCTACAGAAATGATGATCCATCCAAACAATTCCAAACATTATTGAAACGTGGAAAGAAGCTTTCGACTTTACACTTACCTGCTGTAAAACTCCAAAACGAAATTAAACCAAAAAAAAATCAGAGCCTCTTAAAACTATTAGTGGAACTGTCAGGGTCAACGATCCTGAGCCAACATGGTTACAACCAATTCTTTCTGACACTGGTGAGCAAAATGACAATCAAGTTAACCTTGGTAAAACTGAGGATGATGACGTTATCGAAGGAGCTGAGTGCTGTGATTGCAATGATGATGACCATGGGGACCTTTATGATATGTAAAATGCCATTATTGTTCCATTCAGTTTTAAACATTAATTTGTATTTAAAAATAAAATACTATTTTTATGAAGTTGCTTGAGTTTTTTTACATCGTTACTACAAAAAGTCTGTCATAACGCTTGGTCTAGACAATCAAAATGCGTTTTGTCCAAGGATGACAATCTAAATGCAGTTTGTCCAACAATTTTTTCAAGTTTTTTGGGATATTATCAATACTAGATTTTTAGCATATAGGTATAATATTTAAATGATTTTTCATCCATATTTTAGGTATATCAGTTTTTCGTTCAATTTCTTGCCAAACGCATAGCAGTTTTTCTGTATTTGCCAAAATTACAAAAAAATGAACAAAATGCATATAGAAAGTCTGCTCCTCATATATTGTTATGAAATCATGTCCATGTATAATGTTAAAAATCAGTAGTTATTATTTGAAGAAAATCTATTGTTGTTTTGCCTTGATAACATTGTTTCCGTGTGATTGATTGGCAGAATATTTCTATTTTCTCGTTTTTGTGTAATAGAACATTATCTATTAGTTTTATAATAAACTTCTCTGTAAAAACTATTTTTTTGTGTGATCTTTTTATTTGCGTTATATAAATATCATTAATGTAAAATAAATCCATCTACAAATAAATAGGAAAATGTATTGTTGCGCGATTGATACAGCGATTGCCTTATCGTTTGATGGATCATTTTTTTATTGTGACGAATGTTTTAATGCAATATAGGTCTTTTATTATTTGAAAAATAATATCCTGTTTTTGATAAGCAAGATGGTTATATATTTTTTATTTAAACAAGAATAATCCCACATGACCGAGAGTAATACATCAAAATTTTAATGAAATTTACAGCACTACGGCTCAAACAAAATTTTTTAATGTATTTTAATTCATCCACTCCATTGCTAAAAATGTAAAATTAGGACTTGTACATATGCCTACTGGTATAGCAGAAATATAACAATAGCCCTTATAGCCTACTGTGAAACTCACATTTACCCAAATTTCGTCTAAATAAAATATTGGTCTACCTTCTGAACGTAATTTAAAAATGGTTCTAAGGCAGGGTTTCTTAATCTTTTTGAGAAATGAAACCCTTTTTAGTAGTCACTTTTGTTGTGGAACCCCTGGTTTGTCTCAATCTCTCTTTGCAATCCAATCCTGACCCCCCCCCTCGGAGGGAGTGTAGTGGTTGATATGATGCTGTGTATTGTCCGTCTCCAAAGATCTCTGTCTCTGGTAATTTCTTTTAACTCATGCATAGTGTCTCCTGCATATCTCTGTAATTTGATCAATCCATCTTGTTGGGGATATTTCTCGCTATTTAGACCTTCCACCTTTTCTGGTATAATGAGTCTTTCCATGTTTTCTGTGTTTGCTCTCAAACATGTCCAAAGTACTTTAATTGTTGGAGATGTACTTGACTGGAACTCGTTGGCTAACTTTTAGCTGTCTTAAAATTGAAATATTTGTTCTACGGTCGGTCCAATTCAAGGAATTTGTAATATTCGTCTCCTACACAATACTTTAGTTGGGTTGATCATTCTTTTTTACGATTGTCTCAGGGTTCAGGATTCACATCCGTAAATCAGTATCCTCATCTGTAGATTAATTAAACCCAACAAAAATGACAAGTATTAAAAAATATTTAATTTATTTAAAAACTAATTAATTAACATACAATTTCTTAAAAGAACATAAATTTACATTTACAAGACTGTAACATTTTTTTTTAATGGGATAAGCGGTATTGCTTTTTATTATCACAAAGATACTTAATATTAGGCTTATTTGATGAAAGTTGAATTCTCGTGTTAGATTCGGCATCAAGTCTGTTCTGGCATTTAGTCTTTGTCTGCAAACACTGCCTTTTGCGACTATTAAGGATATCCTTTTTTTATACTGCACCAGAATTCGGTTAATGGCATTAATTTAAATTTACTTGGCAATGATGAATTAGATGTCGTTTCAATAAAAGTTTCGTATTCTCCCGTTGACACGGTGGAAGGTCGTGCATTAAAAATAAATGAGTTTTTATCCACAATTCAGTTTGATATTTAATCTGCTGTTCCTTTGGAAAATACTTATCAAAAGCTTTAGTCAATCCTTTCAGATATTAAATAATTTTTTTAATAGATGCCTCTGACATTTCAACCATTCCTTCTTCTAAAAAGCCTTTTATTGTTGGGAAACAATCGAACTCGTTGGAGCGCGTAGATATTGTCCAAAAATCAATTTTTTTCTTAAAAGCAAGAATTTTTTCGTGGGCAATAAATAAGTTTACTTGTTTGTCCTTGAGGGTTAAATTAAGTTTATTTATTTTTGCCAAAATAGGCAATTTCAAGTAACTAGTTAGTATCGAATATTCGACATTTCAGTTCAAAATTGTGTTCTAAAAAAACGCACACACCTCGTCACTTAACTCAAGAAAACGGGTTAATAAAATTTCATAATATTAATATATATTAATTATATATTAATATATATTAATATATATTAATATATATTGATATATATTAATATATCTTTCCTCGAGATAACCGTCTGACTTCAGTGTGTAAAAGAAGAGTTGTATGTACACTTCCAATCTCCTGACAGAGTATTTTAAATAAACGATGATTTAGCGGCCGAGATTTTATGAAGTTAATAATTTTTATGACCTGATCAAGAGCACTCTTATAACTGGGGAAGTATTTTTTAGCAGCAAGTGCCTACCTCGGTTCATGATGCATCAGCACGCTGAGGTATCAAATATCTGACTATTGTTCTGATATATATATATATTGAAAACTAATATCCTGTTTCTGATGAGCAAGATCGTTATATATTTTTTATTTAAACAAGAATAATCCTACATGATTATCCTTTATCGTTTATAAATAAGGAATTTTCAACAATCGATCGAATAGAACAGAACAGCTTAGAACGAGATCCTACAGCATACACAAGGAATAATATGAGGAAAATAACAATACCTTACATAAAAGGATTATCAGAAAAACTTAAAAGGATAGGAAATAAATTCAACATTTCAACAACATTCCAAACAACAAGCACGTTGAGATCTATTTTGTCCAAAACCAAACCTAACAATGAACAAGAAAGGACAAAGAATTGCATTTATAAAATAACCTTGTGAATGCGATCAGTTTTATTTAGGTGAATCATCAAGGCCATTAAATGTTAGAATAAGTGAACATCAATCTTATATTAAAAATAGAGAATTTGATAAATCTCAAATATGTAAACACGCATGGGATAATGAACATAGGGTTCAATGGAATAATTCAAATGTAGTCCTAAAAGAAACAGATGGTAAAAAAAGAAAAATCAAAGAAGCGGCTCTAATTATGCCAAATGATGCAAATTGTGTCGCAAATTCCTCGGCAGAATGTAGTAGGATCTGATTACCAATATTGAAAGAGGAAGTTATTAATAAGAAAATACCAGTATTAGTAAGTCAGTAACATATAGAGGATACATCATTTATGTTTTTTAAATAACGTAACATATAAAATCAGAATTTTAATGTTTGTTGTTTGTTGTTGTTTATAATGTCGGGATAGTATTGAGGTTTTTTTGTCCTGGTTTTTCCCTCATAATTTACTATGGAATCACTAACAGGAGAATTTTACTGTCATCATGTCTTGTGTTTGTCTTTTTAAAGACGAATTACATGCTATGATTTTTTTCTGACGGATATTCTCAAGTTAAAGTTGATTTCATGTGATCGAATGAACTATCTTATAAGTAAAGTCGTCCAGGAGCGCAACTCAACAATATTGGCAATATCATTTTAAAGTCGTCTACTTTAAAATGCATACTGTATGTCTGAATTGTCAATATAAATGAGTCAGATAAAATTAAATTATAAGAAGAATTTTTCACTATGTAACAAAAAACAAAATTTGTTTAATTTACTGTTTGTATTTTGAGAACGCTTTCCGAAGTGGAAATAGAAACGTCAATAAACGTATTTTTATCTTTAATTGTGGCTTATTCCCAGTTAAATAGTAATTAAATATCTGACTAAGTAAAAATCTTCAGTTGTTTTTCGTTCACCGTTTTACCGTTTTTATCCGTTTTTGTCTACCACCGCTATTTTAACTGAAGCCATAGAGCTATTTTGATAGAACATATGATGTCAAGGAGATTGGACGATACGGCATGGGGTGGAGTTTTGAGTTTGTCGGATTTATTGCATCCTAACTTGGGAAATATTTATAGAAGAAGGAAGTTAGCTGACTATGAGAAATATTTAAGAAAATAGAGAGTTATGCAAATAAATGATATTTTACAAAAAAAAGTAATATTTTTCAGTTAATATGGAAATAAAATATAAGGAAACGAGTCGCTCTGTATAAAGAGCTAAACGGTTCTTCCGAATAATACCCTCTTAATTACCTTATGGAAATATTCGTTACAAAGTTATCTGTCATTTCGCAGCGTACACAACTCTAGTATTGATATCAGGTAATCTAAGAAAAGCCCTTAAGTAATTATCTTACCCTGTGTTGTTCCGAAATATCCAACTGTTCCGCTCTTTGTATAACTTGAACAATGGCCTCTTGTTCTTCTGCAGCCAAAGGGGAAACTTGAGGAACTTTGTGGCTATATCCGAGAACTGCGGTCTTGACGCTCCAGCCGGTATTTAATCTGAAAGCAAATTGAATCACTTTGAGAAAAAAAGGGTTGGTGGTGTATGGAACTAAATAAATGAACAACTAGGCGACTTTTGTTTGCGACGCATTATTTGGATTAGTGCAAAAAGTGAACATCTTTGTAGGTTTTGCTTTGATTTACTATTTTGGCGGTATTACAAAGATGAACTGGACAATAGTTTTTATTAAGATGTATTTTGTTTTTTAAGCTCACGATACAATGTTACGAAAATCACGATATATATATATATATATATATATATATATATATATATATATATATATATATATTTATATATGTATCTATATATATATATATATATATATATATATATATATATATATATATATATATTGGATTTGAAATTTCCGCGGAGCTATATGTGATTTCAGTTGTTTTTCGGGTTTGACTCCGCGTTAAGTAGTTTTGGTTTTTAGAAAAACCATTGTTTTGACGACGTTTTGGCAAGGTCACACTTGCCATTGTCAGTCAGATTAGTTCTGCTTCGTCTTGATGTTCCTGAAACAACAAAGTTTGTTAGGGCTGACTGTAGCCCTAATAAACTTTGTTGTTTGTTTATATCTATTATGTTTATATATATTTATGGTAAAAAATTTTTAAAGGTGGTAATAAATTAATACAAAATGTGTAAAAATATGCCATCGGCAAAAAGTGTTTTCTTTTTAATTCTGCTAGCTTGAACCTTAAGCCAGCAGAATCGCTCCCATTAAGTTTGGTTTGGTGGTGAAAGATTATTAGGGTAGTAATACATTAGTGAAAAATAGGTGAAAAAATATTACGTAGGTTAAATTGGACTCCGCTCATTTGTCCCCGTTAGCGTAAGGGTCCTGTTGTCAACGCTTGGATAGTATATAAACATCATTGTGCTGAGCTAAAAGTAAAACCAATACCTTTAAAAAGAATGAAAATGGACATGGCTGAATCTGACACTGAAGGAGACGGTCGAAAAAATTGTAACTCTTGTATGTAAGATAACATTGAACACTGGTCTATCTATGGACAAAACGAAAAATTTGATTTTGCAACAATGCTTACACAACAATTATGTGTCAAAAATGTGATATAAAACTATATATTTACACCGGCCAAGAATTATTTTTTTAATTTTCATTACATTTCATAAATTTTTGTCTTTGTAATATATTGTTACTGTGTAAGTATTAAAGTTCATGTTTGCATATTTCTGTAGTTTTTCTTACATTATGTAAGCCCTAGAAAATGACTTTTGGTATAGTTTATTTTTATGAACGAGAGAGTAATTAGGATAATTTTAACTGGTACCTCCGACCACTCCATGGGCGTGCTCAAGATTAATTGAAAAATTAGTTTGAATAATTGTAAAAAATAAATGAATTATTTCAGTGTTATAAAGTGTTATGTGTATGTAAACAACAGTGACCTCTTTTATCACACACTATATTAGAACTGACTGGCCTACATTAAAAAGGGTTTTAAAAAAATCACATTTTTTTTTAATTTTTAAAAATTACAAAGAGAAAAAGAGTTTTTAAAACCGTCTAAGGTATGTTAAATAGATGAATAAAAATATTAATATAAAACTTACAGCTACTTGTTACAAATCCAAATCAGATTCAGAAGATGAACTTTCAGAACCAAGATGTATAATAACTGGCTCGATCATTTTATCAGTAATATTGTCCAGCTTCCACATTTTTTCCTCTTCTTTAATAGTGTGATTTACTGCCTTTTCGCAGTTTTCAGGTTTTACATTATTTACGGCCTCCAAAAACAACTGTTTAACATCATGAATTTTAAAAGTGGTATTTTTTCTTGAAACTTCACTCTTTATCTGTGCCCATACCAGTTCAATCGGGTTTAATTCACAATGATATGGTGGGGATCTAAGTACTGTCATTCCACGATTTTTGGCAATTTCATCAATTTCGTATTTTTTGAATTTTTCTTTATGAAGGACACACAAGAAATAAAGTTCCTTTCTTATAGATCCGGGATGGTACGTAATATTTTTTGAACTCAGCCAATTCTGCAAGTCTTTTTTTAAACACTTGGTTGTGGGCAGTCCTTCTATAAGTCTGGAGTGATAACTTGCATTATCCATTACTATTACACAGTTCTTAGGAAGAAGATCTATCATTTGTTCGAACCATTCTTGAAAGACATCAGCGTTCATATCTTCATGGTAGTCACCGGTACGAGTTGATTCAAAAGTTAATAAACCACCTTCAACAAAACCGTCTGAACTGCCAATGTGTACTATTATCAGCCTGCGTCCCTTTTCTGATGGTGGGTTTAAACCAGTAGATAAGTTATTTACAAAAGCGTGCCTTTGACTTGTAACAGTTTCATCCTGCCAAAATTTATTTGGTGTATGACCCTCGTTGATCCATGTTTCATCAAGATAAAATATTTTTCTTTTTTGGTTTCTCATTTCCTTTACGGTTCTTAGAAAATGTTTTCTCCATATGACAATATCGCTTCTTTCTAATAAAATAGACTTTCTGGGATTCTTTTTCCAGCGGAAGCCTATTTCTTTTAAAAGTTTCTATAACGTACTTCGACTCATTTTTGGGTAATCCTTATCATCTCGAACTGAGACAAGAACTTCGTCCAATGTTGGAAATTCTTGTGTAAAGAAGAATTCATGCACTTTCCGGTCGAAGTCCTTCTTTAAAATGATATTCTATTTGAAATTTTGGTTTCCTGGAGCATTACGTGGCATTTGAAAACTACCACATTTCTCTTCTTTAATAACTCTGTAAATCGTAGATTTCCCAACACCAAGTGTACTGCTAACTAACTCAACGGTCTCATCAACACTTTCACATAAACGTTTGTCTGTAAATGATTTAAAACAATTAAATATTAATGTTTTTTCATTAACTGTTAAAGGACCAATTTTTCGGCGTTTACATGGCACTTCCAAATTTTCCATAACACTAGTATACACAATAAACTGCACCTTGCAACTGAAGTACCTACTTTTAGTGAACTGTTAACAATTTTGAATACGCGACTTGGACCTGCCTACAAAATGGAAAAACCCACTATCACATTTTCTGTGGAATAAGTTTAGAAGGTAATTATCTAGTCAATTACTGTCGTAGATTCCTGGAATTAAGGAATTAAATGTTTGATTGTTGAAACCCTTACTTCGTGGAATGCACTCATTTCAGATAAAGTAAAACGTTTTATTTTATCTAAAGAATTAAACTTTATTTTGCAAATAGGTAGGTACTTATTAAACTTTTATTGGTTATATATAACCATTAAAATAAACATCTTACATTTCTTGCAAATTCATTAGTACCTGTTAACCTCCATCACTCCGACACTGGCAACCTTATTTAGGGATTAGTAACCCTCACAACTATTGTATTCTATTCTGCTCCAACCTTTATACCTGGTGGTCATACTCAATTTAAAATTGTTTTCCTATATACTTCTGTAAACTTGGTGACAAATATCTGTTTTTCATTGAGTCACCCGTATCAACAGTTTAGGGATTTGCATATATAATTTATTATTTTATTACTCTCTCATACATAAAAATACACTATAGTGGTGATCATTAATTTGTTCGTATAATAATGGTATAATACAAACATTTTAACGTCAACCTGTTATTATTCCTTTGGAGCAACGTGTTCATTATACCACTAATGGACAATGTTACTTGAGGGTAACATTTTCAAACTTCTTTTTTTATATACAAAAATTGCATATTTTAACTCAACTGGTACATTCATAGTCGCTTAAAAACACAAACAAATTTTTAGAATTTTATTTCAATGAATTTAAGGTGCGACTGTTACAGGGTTAAACGTGGGTTTATTCAATTGCAAAATGCACCGGAATATGCTAATTAGGGCCATCGTGTTTTGGTGTGAACTAAGCAGTTTTAGTGGCCATATAGTTTGGACATTGTATTTGTTGTATATCACCTTTTTTTAATGTACTAATACACTGCTTCTCCATTTGTCTGGCTTTAAATGATTGAGCAACTTTCTCATTTCTTATTTTGGTAACCAATGCTGTTAGTGTCTATTAGTTTAATTGATTTTATGTCGAATGATTCAGTTAATTAACTGTCAAAGTATTTTTTAATTATTTTTCGCATTTTTTGTGGACTAGGGTTTTAGTATTTTTTAAATGTTTAAACAGACTTTGGGACACCTAAAAATTCGATCATTTAGAGGGCTTTTAAGATACACTACTTCAAAATATCTGAGAATTAAAAGGAATGACGGCAAGCTTAAAATTTTAGGGAATAAATTAAGCAATATCTGAAAAGTTAATTTAGCCACTAAAACAACTAATAAAAACAGTATTAAAACAATTTATTAAATTTTAATTATGGTATAATTTTCCAGGTATGTTTGTAGCATCTCCCAACGCAATTTCACGTAAAACAGTTTTAATTGAGCATTAAATTCCTAAATATATATTCCAGAATATATCAAAATATGTAGTGCATTATAATAATTAACGTGTTACACGTTATTGATTTTTAGATAAAAGTGTTTATTTGCGTCTGTTTTATACTGATAATTATTACTGATTACACGACTTCAGTATTACGCTTTGCATTTAATATTTTTATAAGCGTATAAAGTTTTATGACAAATTAGGCAGTAAATTCATGAAATAATAGGATAATTTGAACCTAAAATTATAATCGTAAAATTGTTGTATCGCTATATCTTTAGATTAACACTTAAATGTTGATATGCAACTACTGTGATAGACTTATTAATGCGCAGACTTTAAGATCATCTCTAAATATAGTTATTTAACGAAAAGTTAATAAAGTTAGTAAATATAGTTATTTAAAGAAATGTAATAAGTGTCGGTCAGATAGCACAGCGGGCTGTGCGGCTGCCTCTCATTCGCATCACTGTCGAATGGTTCAGTGGATGTGGGATCGAGCCCCAGCTCGGTGTACAGAAAACAAAAAGTCTAACGCAGCAGTTTAAAATTCTAGATGAATCTG